AAAATTCCTAAGCACTTATATTTTAAAAATTTTAAATTAAAACCACCAATCAGAAACACTTTTTCACATTTCTCTCTCCGTCGATCTTTCTCTTGATCCCACCCGAAATCTCACTTCGCGTCCGCACGGTATTCTTCGTCATATTCAACGTTATTGAACAATAATGATTGGCTGCTTTTAAAATGGTCCAGTTTCACAAATTAAATGGACTTTTTTTATTATTTTCATTCAAGGGGGACCTTTTATGAATAAATTCGATTCATGCCGGCACCCTAATCGTAAATAAAATTAACTTTTAACTTCATCAACATCTGATGCGTGACCAACGTAATCTCAAACGTTATTCTTCTTCTTAAATCAGCTAAGTCACCTGGTTTGGTTTTGTGTAGCGTATGTTTTACATATCCCCAAGGGAAAAAGTTTAATTGCGTAAGATCTGGTCATCTTGCTGGCCATTCTATCGATCCTCGCCTCCCTATCCACCGATTTGGAAATATTTGTTTTGGTAATGTGGTGAAACCATATCACATTCGCTGGAACTTGTAGGTTTGCTTCACCAGGACATATATTTGCCAAAGTTTTTACGATATTGTTTTGGAGCAGTGTTAAATAGTTATCTCCATTTAAATTGTCATCAATGAAAAAAGGACCAATGACATGGTTTCCAACCATCCCTGCCCAAACATTAACCTATTCAAGGGTATTGCGTATGTTCTTCTCTCATCCAGTGAGGGTTTTCATGAGAGCAGTAGCTGAAATAGTGATGATTAGTATGGCTGTGTTTTAGTTGTATAACGTTGTTATCTAACATTTCCATCACTTTTGTATGATGATGAATGGGAAGGAGTAGGGCATCCAAATGATGAAACACAAGGCTTGTTTTGGCTCTTTCACGAACTAGTTCAGAATAAGTTAATTACCCTCGTTCAGATCAATAGGTTGTTATATCATCATGACCTATTTTTGAAAAATAAATTCGTTTACTGAATTCGAGAACTGGAATCGACGGTTCTGTTTGAACCAAAACAAACCTACAATAAGCCATCTGCACTTCAGTGCCGCCATGCCAACCCCAAGAGGGGGTAAAGCAGGCTGGACCCAAGCCTGATTGTGGGAATCTCCGGAATCCCTGAGGGGTTCAGAGGGATGCCTGAAAGGGCGAAAAACAAGTTATAAAAGTAATTTTAAAAACAGACTTCAAAATCGTGCAGATGTCAACACAAATTGAGTTTGCTGATTTTATGATGGATCTCATGATCAGATTTTGACAAAATTTATATGGGACCAACCCTGAGGTACCCCTTCTCTAACAAAAAGAAAGAAAAAATAGAAATCGGACACGTGGTAAAGAATAATCGCTGAACATACATAAAAAAATATTCCGGTGAATTGGGAACCTCTTCCTTTTTGAAGTCGGTTAACAAACACCTTTTAATATTACGGTTGCTTGTCGACTCGATGTATGTGGATTCTCCTCAAATTCAAGCACTACGTCCTATTTGGTATCATTACTGAGTGAATTCAAAGATTTTTTAATCTGCCATACATATCCAAGCTCTCGAAATTGTTTTTCAATTTTACTAATTATCCCTTGAGATATAGGCGTCAAATTGAGAAATTTTTCTTGTTATAGGCGAACAATTTCGATCTGCGTTCGTGTTTTATCTCCGTATCCAATCATTTATAAAATTGGTTTTTTATGTATTTCTGTTAAACCATGTTTCTGATCTGTAGTTAAGATCACTCCATAGATGCAAGCGAACTTCTATGAATTTTTTTTCACCTCCCCGCGCAGGTAGTTTTTAAGGTACCATTTCTGTAGGCGCGACAGACGACCGCCGACGCGACATACGACCGCCGACACGACCGAGAAGTGTCGCTTCACATCTAAAATACATACAATTATATAAAACACATTTCGCACGGCGCGACACGACCGAGAAGTGTCGTGGAGACACTTCTCGGTGCAAAGCTTTGCTGCGTACCGCACTCGAGGTCACTGTCCTCGGCATCGCTTTTTTTTTGGGGTGATTCGGTCGGAAATTTCTTTCGATCTAGGCAGCGTTGCCAGATTTTAAAACAGTATGGGTAAAAAAAACCGTAGATCTGAACAGTAGATTTTAATAAAGGGAAAAATAATTATAATTTACAGTGTAGTAAATAAAAAAAACAAGTATATAAGAAACGAAAAATAAACTTTTTTCTACCCAAATTAGAAAGTAAACAAAGAATAAAAAACATTTTTAATATATACTTAACGTACGGGAAAAAAACCAATGAAAAATAATAAGTACCTACTTCTTTTAGATCAGTCTGAATTGAATAATTCAAAATCGTAGTGTTTGGCATATGCATGTTCTTTTTATGATGCCCTATTAATTCTTTGTTTTATTTTAAATAAAAACAATGATTATCTTGATGTTTTTTTTTATGGAGCCAACCTACAGTAGTGGATGCTTATTACGCTGCTTTTACTGCAGACAATTTACTATAAAAATATTCTTTACCCATTTGCTGAAGAATGAGGCAAACTTAATAAATTAAGAACAAAATTTGCTAGAGACAAAAACAGTAGATCTACGTGAAAATAGTAGGTCTGGCAACGCTGATTGTTCCCTCAAATGGTTACGAAGGGTAAAATTTATGCACCTGTTGTCCTACTCGACCTTTAGCCCAATCGGATTAGAATTTTAGATTCTGAAAAATTCGAAGCAGCAATTTTCCTTCGGAATTCGTTGGAGGGGGTCTCTGGTAGTCTAAATTCAAAAAGTTGGGATTCCAAAGTTGTCGTTACCTCCGCCATCTTGATTTAAAGGGTTATTTTTTGTATCTTGAATAACTCATTTATTTTCAATTTTACACGGAAAATAGTTTTTACAAAAGTTATTTAAAATTAAATTTCCTACAATTCTGCTTTTTTTTTGTACGATCGATTTTTTTCGATTTATACCCGAAAAGAGGGGGTGAATTTTGGGTTATAGAATAACTCGTTTATTTTCAATTTTACGAGAAAAATTGTTATAAACAAAGTTGTTTAAAATTACATTTCCTACAATTCTGTTTTTTTTTTGTACGATCGATTTTTTTGTATTTATCCCTGAGAAGAGTGGGGGTGAACCTAAGTATTGTATTGTCACGTTTATTATTGATGTTGTACCATTATTTTTTCTGTTTGTTTTTTTTTTGCTGATTTTCAAAAATGTTATTTGGTACAATTATGATTCCGATTTTTTCTAAAGTTTATATTGTTGGGTCGCACGTTCACGGTAAAGGATAAGAGGGGTGTAAATAATCAGTTTATCGAACAGTATAATTTTTACAATTAAAAAAATGAAATTTATTTTCTTTTTAGTACACTTTTAAAAGTCTATCGAAACGTCAATGACGTCTGTTTGGAACGTTTAGCCGATGTTTACCCCCACTCTTCTCAGGGATAAATACAAAAAAATCGAGCGTACAAAAAAAAACAGAATTGTAGGAAATTTAATTTTAAACAACTTTGTTTATAACAATTTTTCTCGTAAAATTGAAAATAAACGAGTTATTCTATAACCAAAAATTCACCCCCTCTTTTCGGGTATAAATCGAAAAAAATCGATCGTACAAAAAAAAGCAGAATTGTAGGAAATTTAATTTTAAATAACTTTTGTAAAAACTATTTTCCGTGTAAAATTGAAGATAAATGAGTTATTCAAGATACAAAAAATAACCCTTTAAATCAAGCTGGCGGAGGTAACGACAACTTTGGAATCCCAACTTTTTGAATTTAGACTACCACAGACCCCCTCCAACGAATTCCGAAGGAAAATTGCTGCTTCGAATTTTTCAGAATCTCAAGCCTGTTCTTCACCTAATCCGATTGGGCTACTTGGGGTCGGTTCAGTGGTCGCTTGTCGTCTGTCGCGCCTACCGAAATGGTACCTTTAAAATGCGTAAAATAATTCAGGCCAGGACAACCCGTATGTCAGCATTTTGATCGCTGTCTTTTGTTGAATTAAAGACAATTTTTGGATAATGCTTTAAACTAGTTATAAATAAGTTACATTTAATTTTTTGTGTTGATTTGTGGATTAAAAGGTTTTTGATAAGGAATTTATTCTCTAAAAAAAATGTTAGTTACAGTGTAGTATCGAGTTGACTTTTTAGGATATAGAATAAAACTTACCGTGATTTTAGTTAGTTTTTAAAAAAGAAAAAGGATTAGTATTAGAAGGGTCAAATAACCTCAAATATTTGAAATTTGTCAGTAACGGGTGTTTGGTTTATGACGACAGAATTAATGTTACAATCACACAGCAAGTTGCCAAGGCGTTTTTAATGAAATTAAGAGTGCCAACTATGAAGAATGTTTCTAACTTTTTGTTTTATGGTAAATACCGTCGAAAAATGCCACTGGAATTGTTTTGCTTACTTTCTCATTATCAAGAACGAAACTATTAATCATCGTTGATCAGATGAATTTACTTTTTTTACTGTACATTTTTGCAATTGATTTGAAAATCACAGTATTTTTTTAATAAAGAATGAAGAGCCCTTTTAATTGAGGTATCAAAAGCTCCTACTTCCTATTTACAAATTTGAGGGTTGTGACTGTCACTCGAAGGGGGTTGAAGGTAGGGGTACAATTTTCACATTGCAGGATGTCATTTTATAAACGAAGATTTTTATAAATATGCATAGTAATTGAACTACTGAATTTATTTCATTTGGCTGTTACACACTGCATATATATTGGAGATATGATATTGGTTTATAGAATTTTAGAGAACATTGTCTACACACGCATCGTTCTCTTTTGTTATTGCAAGTCATACTTTTCGTTTTTATTACTTAGGTACATATCGTCGTAGGAGAAGTGAAATCGGTACCTCTCTATTTCTGGAAATGAGTTAAACATGTGAAATAGATACAAAACACATTTCAATGTTATGTTTCTAATAACTAAAACGTTTTATTGATCCTCAAAGATAATAATCTTACCAACTGTTAAGAATAATTACCTGGATTGGCACCATCTCTAAACACCTTAGGTTGATTTTTGTAATGCATAAAATAATAAACATGAGCCATCTCGTGGTGAGCAGTTATAAGATCCTTCATATTAACGTTCGTACACATTTTTATCCTGTAACAAATAAATGAGTTATTAAAGTACCTTTTTGGTTAAAATACGAAATCAAAAACAAATTGAGTCTTAAAATCGTAAAATATATTTTTGCTACTACCGTGCGTAAAGTTGTACTTTTTTCCTTACTACGTAAAGTGAAAAAAGTTATTTTAGTGAAAAAAAGTAACTTTTATATTTCTAAGATTAGTGGATAATGTGTACGGTAATAGAAAAAATATTGTATGCAACTCATGTGTAAACTCCCTTTTTAACTCATGTGACAACAGTCACATTCGTTAAAAAAGAGTAACTTTACACACTTGTTGCATAAATAACTATTATAAGCACACTTTTTAATTACCTATTAAGACGTATATTTCTATGGAGTGACCCACAAAAATGTTTCTACGTACGCCTTTGAAATACATTCGAATTGTCATTTAAAAATTAAGAATTGTATGTTCTGACATACTTGAGTTTTACCATGGTCTATGTTAGAAATATTTTGTGGATCACTCCATAGAATTTTAGGAGTAATATCTGCAATTTGTGTAATATCTGTAATTTATGTACTTTCTGTAATTTCTATAATTTCTATAATTTCTATAATTTCTATAATTTCTATAATTTCTATAATTTCTATAATTTCTATAATTTCTATAATTTCTATAATTTCTATAATTTCTATAATTTCTATAATTTCTATAATTTCTATAATTTCTATAATTTCTATAATTTCTATAATTTCTATAATTTCTATAATTTCTATAATTTCTATAATTTCTATAATTTCTATAATTTCTATAATTTCTATAATTTCTATAATTTCTATAATTTCTATAATTTCTATAATTTCTATAATTTCTATAATTTCTATAATTTCTATAATTTCTATAATTTCTATAATTTCTATAATTTCTATAATTTCTATAATTTCTATAATTTCTATAATTTCTATAATTTCTATAATTTCTATAATTTCTATAATTTCTATAATTTCTATAATTTCTATAATTTCTATAATTTCTATAATTTCTATAATTTCTATAATTTCTATAATTTCTATAATTTCTATAATTTCTATAATTTCTATAATTTCTATAATTTCTATAATTTCTATAATTTCTATAATTTCTATAATTTCTATAATTTCTATAATTTCTATAATTTCTATAATTTCTATAATTTCTATAATTTCTATAATTTCTATAATTTCTATAATTTCTATAATTTCTATAATTTCTATAATTTCTATAATTTCTATAATTTCTATAATTTCTATAATTTCTATAATTTCTATAATTTCTATAATTTCTATAATTTCTATAATTTCTATAATTTCTATAATTTCTATAATTTCTATAATTTCTATAATTTCTATAATTTCTATAATTTCTATAATTTCTATAATTTCTATAATTTCTATAATTTCTATAATTTCTATAATTTCTATAATTTCTATAATTTCTATAATTTCTATAATTTCTATAATTTCTATAATTTCTATAATTTCTATAATTTCTATAATTTCTATAATTTCTATAATTTCTATAATTTCTATAATTTCTATAATTTCTATAATTTCTATAATTTCTATAATTTCTATAATTTCTATAATTTCTATAATTTCTATAATTTCTATAATTTCTATAATTTCTATAATTTCTATAATTTCTATAATTTCTATAATTTCTATAATTTCTATAATTTCTATAATTTCTATAATTTCTATAATTTCTATAATTTCTATAATTTCTATAATTTCTATAATTTCTATAATTTCTATAATTTCTATAATTTCTATAATTTCTATAATTTCTATAATTTCTATAATTTCTATAATTTCTATAATTTCTATAATTTCTATAATTTCTATAATTTCTATAATTTCTATAATTTCTATAATTTCTATAATTTCTATAATTTCTATAATTTCTATAATTTCTATAATTTCTATAATTTCTATAATTTCTATAATTTCTATAATTTCTATAATTTCTATAATTTCTATAATTTCTATAATTTCTATAATTTCTATAATTTCTATAATTTCTATAATTTCTATAATTTCTATAATTTCTATAATTTCTATAATTTCTATAATTTCTATAATTTCTATAATTTCTATAATTTCTATAATTTCTATAATTTCTATAATTTCTATAATTTCTATAATTTCTATAATTTCTATAATTTCTGAAATTTCTATAATTTCTGTAGTTCCTGTATTTTCTGTAATTTCTGTAATTTCTGTAATTTCTGTAATTTCTGTAATTTCTGTAATTTCTGTAATTTCTGTAATTTCTGTAATTTTTGTAATTTCTGTAATTTCTGTAATTTCTGTAATTTCTGTAATTTCTGTAATTTCTGTAATTTCTGTAATTTCTATAATTTCTGTAATTTCTGTAATTTCTGTAATTTCTGTAATTTCTGTAATTTCTGTAATTTCTATAATTTCTGTAATTTCTGTAATTTCTGTAATTTCTGTAATTTCTGTAATTTCTGTAATTTCTGTAATTTCTGTAATTTCTGTAATTTCTATAATTTCTATAATTTCTGTAATTTCTGTAATTTCTGTAATTTCTGTAATTTCTGTAATTTCTGTAATTTCTGTAATTTCTGTAATTTCTGTAATTTCTGTAATTTCTGTAATTTCTGTAATTTCTATAATTTCTGTAATTTCTGTAATTTCTGTAATTTCTGTAATTTCTGTAATTTCTGTAATTTCTGTAATTTCTGTAATTTCTGTAATTTCTGTAATTTCTGTAATTTCTGTAATTTCTGTAATTTCTGTAATTTCTGTAATTTCTGTAATTTCTGTAATTTCTGTAATTTCTGTAATTTCTGTAATTTCTGTAATTTCTGTAATTTCTGTAATTTCTGTAATTTCTGTAATTTCTGTAATTTCTATAATTTCTGTAATTTCTGTAATTTCTGAACTGTATAATTTATGTAATTATTATCTGTAATTTCATTAAATAGTAATTATTTTAAAATATACGATTTTGGTATACATTTCTTTCATTTTGGTACTCATTATCAGAAAAATAGAGTGAATTTTCTTTAATATTAGATTTGTTACCTGAAGTCTCTGCGATTGCAAAAGTCCCAAGCGGATGGCTGACAAAGTACTACTCTATCCAATGGTTCCTGTAGTACAGAGCCTTGCCAAAAATCTAGAGGAAGTACGCTCATATTTAGAGAAACGAAGAAGTCTTCTGCTAGCCTAAACAGATCTGGAGGCGAGTATCCCTGAAAAAAATATTTATTTTAAAATAGGTCTACGACTGGCAACATTGCCGACAATACGAGTATGCTAATGACCAGAGATTAGGGACATTAAGATTGGAAACGCAACAACCGCAGCAACGATGGCGTCATCTATCGTCTCAGATGTTAACTACAGGTCTACGTCGTTTGTAGAGAGACCAGTGTTGCCAAATGTTTTTTTTTAGAGATCGTACAAGTAGGGTAGAAAAATGGTATTTCGACAAAAAAATTGTATAATAGATACCTGCATAGTATAATATAACTTAAGTGGAATGAAAAAAATTAAAAAAAACTTTGGCTATTTATTTATTTATAAAAATATTTACAACGAAAAAAAAAACTAAAGTAAATACATAAAACTTTAATAAACACATTTAAAGTAATATCAATGACTGTCACTTGAAAGTGATTGAAATTTTGCATGCAAGCTTTTCTTATGCCGTGATAGTCGGTGTACAAAATCACCATGGTCAAAATCACGATAAGTCAGAACGAAAATGACTGCCTTTAGAAATTACGAACGGCCTATAAATCTTTGCAAGTAGTTTTTGATTTTTATTCTTTTATGTTCTGAAGTTGTTGCAGATATTTAAATAAAGCTACTAAAAAGAGAAGTTCGTATTTTTACGTACGATCTCACTGATGCAATCGTACAGTTTAAATAGTACGGTTGGCAACACTGAGACAGACAGTAGACTAAGACGTGGACAGCAGTGGACAGTTTGTAAATATAAATGTCAGTTTTATGTATACCGAAGAATCCTGAATTTAAATTTTAAATTTTGATTTCATGATTGTGTTATCCTCTAAATGAAGTAAGCGAAATAGTTGTAGCTGTTTTTGTGTGAAATTTAAGGACAATAATTATATTTTGTAATATTACAATAAGTCGGGAAAAAGTATTGCATTAGTAACACATGCCACATGAACAAATTTAACAACCCCAATGTGGCGTTCTTTAATTAACCAAAATAGGTAAGATCTATTCATGTAAGTAACACAAATAGTACTCAACTTTTGTCACAAAGCAGGTGTTTATATATTATTTATTGTTTTAGAACAAGAAAATGGCTTTAAAACGTTAAAAAGAAGATTTGATATAGGAAGAAAAATATCTGAATTCCCATTATTGAATTTGCACTCAACATTTTTAAATAAGAAACCAAAATAAAAACAAAAATGCAGTGTTACAAATAACAATCAAAAATTAAAAAATATTTGTCATGAATATAGATTTACAATAATTAATCGAAATAGACTGTAAGTGTAGTATTTTTTTAATAAATAATTTAGCGTAATTACATTGTTTATTTACAAGAACATGAGAGTGCAGTCGATATTTATGCAACCTTTATTATCAGGTTTTTAAATTTCCCGCTGCGTTGTTTGATATCGATATAAGCGCCACATAGTGGATCAGATGTTAACTGCGATAAAGCTGGTCGTTATTAAGCATTGGCTTCTTATGTGCGTTTCCTATCTTTATCTCCCTTATCTCTGCTAATGACAATATCTCAGGAGCTCTCCTTTCTGGTTGCAACCTGGCCTCGTCCACAGAGGCAATCGGTTGTTCATCCAACTGATAAACTATGCTAAGATAAAGATAAATAAATGTTGTTTATCTAAGTAAGGAACGATGGCATTAGGGCGTTACAAAAGCGAATAAGAATATAAGAAACTAAATCAAAAAATCAGTCTGGATTCATCATTTGGATAAGTAGGGAATAAAGTTTAGAAATTACTGGAATTTTTGCAATTACCTGCTTGATCATCTCTGGCGTGACATCCAAGAAATTCTGTCCAGGATAAGGTTGGGTAATATCGAAAATATTCGTCCATGATTGGGCCCACATGTTTCCTAAAACATGAGCTGGCAAAGGTGCTTGTCTGCTTATCCTTTCAGGTCCATAGTATTCCCTTAATCGTCGTCTAACGTAGGCCAGAAGTTGTTCATACAGTGGCTTGATTTCTTCCCAGGCATCCTCTAGGTCTAAAGTCAGTGCTGGCGATTCGAAAGGGAAGCTCCAATAATCGGCGGTATCCGTAAAATCTAAAAAATTCAAACGTATTTGAAATAAAAAATAAATCTATGAAATATTATTAAAAGTCGATAATATTGTTGTCTTAACCATGTTTATCTATCGCCGTTTAATACTAGGTTGTTTTACTTATATCCAACAATACCGTTAGAAATTCAAAATATCATAATTAAAACCTTGATTGTATAGACAACATTTCCCTTTGGTAAATGGTTACATGCAATGCTGCATTTTGTTACAGTGTCCACAAACGCTAGGCCATAAAGACCTAAAATGGTTACGGGTAGAAGAGATCTTCTACATGTGATATCTGCATCAGGATGAGTAGATTTGCAGTTATGGCGGATGTTCCAAAAATAGAAGTGGTCGAGGTTGCAGATTTTTTGCAATTCGGAAAATTAGGACGTAGAAAACCGAGGGTGTTGAACCCATAGCAAATAATGTAGGAATTAGGGGCTTGACCTGGACGATTAGAAGACGAATTGACGCAAGTTTGCTTAGTTATGTTATTAGTTGCTCCGAACTTCCTACATTCTGCTTGTAAATGTCCAAAATTCGTTTAGAAAGTGCACCTAGGTCCCTAGTTACTACTCGTATCGGTAGTATGTTTCTTAGGAGTTGGGAGTTTCACTACTATTACTTTTAGTAATAGTTTTTGCTAATTTTGAGAGTAAGAAGGCTATACGGTATCGGCTAACGATACCTTTTAATATCCCTTGGTACAAATGCGTGTGAAAACTACAAAGAGGCCAGCACCAGAACAAGCAGAAAAAAAACAAACCCAATGATGCTAGCCTATACGGCCTGGCGAACGTTACAACGTGATCGTGTCGTATAAATGGCAACACTGGTTTTGTTTATTTTCTGCTTGCTCTATTGCTGGCTCTCTGTAGTTTTCACACGCACTTGTGCCAAGGGATATTAAAAGGTATTAGTTGATCGATACCGTATATGTCTAATTAAAGGGAATCAGGCATGATTCATGCAATATAGTTTGAATAAATATAACAGCAAAGTTCTGCATTTACTAACGAAAACATTAGTTTGCTTGCTCTCTGGAAAAAAATTATTTGAAGGTAATTTCTTTTTGCCATAAACATTCCTTTCAGGTATCCCTCTGCTCCTCCCTGAGGGGTTCCGGCTGACTCTCCCCAGTCTGGCTTTGGAATAGCCACCGGCTCCTCTAAATCAGGTTTGGGGTCCAGTCTGCTTTCCCTCCTCTTGGGGTTCCCATGGTGGCACTGAAGAGCAGGTGGCTTATTGGTCCACCATTTGGATGCTCTATTCCTTTCCATTCATCATACATTCATTCATGGTTATTCATTCCACGTTGTCGATGGTTAACTGCTAGTCGGAAAAGTCGGTAGATCGTCCAGCCGTCACACATTTACGACGTGACCGGAGAAAACACTGCTTGGCTGTTGCGAGAATGTGGATGCATACCAATCTCGCGGTCGGCCTCTATATATATCTTGAAGCAGCCAGATCTTCATTCCATGAAGACGTACTAGCTTCAGCACCTTGCCACCAAACTGCATCTTGTCGGTCCAGAAGCATATATGATCAGTACCGTGGGGCCTCCACTCATTACAGATACAAATCTATTGAGACATTGTTTTACTCTGTCAATGAATATGTAATACATTTTCGATCAATAAGACATCTCATCGTCACTCTACTTAATGATAATCTTTGATTAATATAAGTACCTACAGTACCTACTACGTAATAATTGATTTTTGTTAATATTGCCAACTTGTTCCGTATATGACTTGATTATTTTATTATTCAGGAGAAAATAAAAAATAAAAATATAAATAATTTCAGTTGTAGACGGGGATTCATTTTATGTAATTTAAAAGACATTTTGACAAACTTTAAACTTTTATGGTCATTTTATACCAATTTAAAAAAAATTATTTATTCCATTCATTTAAGTAATACATTAAAAACGCGAAAAGGAATTTATTACTTTAAAAACTTACCAAGCAATATAAAACAAGTAATGTGAACTATATGCAACCAGTATTACAACAAACAGAATAGTTGTGGAAATTGTATTCCTCTAGTAAGGTTCGAATTTTAAAATGTCCTGTTCCTCAAATCAACGTCTATAGAAGCTCTTGGCTTATCAGAAAGTTACGATAGTGTGCTAGACGATACTGAGCATGTTCAAATTATTTCTCCGAATTTTTGCAGTAGTGACGGTTTGGTGCATTGAAGAGCAAAAAAATATATATAAGAGTGGGTTGTCGCGTTACCATAAAAATTGAAATATTTAAATTTTTTCATTAAACAAAAGCAGGACACATGTTAAATCGGGACAAGTGGTTTATAATCGGGACTGTCCCGCCTAAATCGGGAAGGAAGGTCCCTTTATATATATTCTCTTAAAAAAAGGCTCATTTGTGTACAGACCAGAAAGCTCTACAAATATTTTCGTTTATTGACAAAAAAATGAAACAAATATACAAACATTAGAATGTTTTACCTTATTAAAATTAAAATGTGATAGCATAAGATATCACAACAATAAAATTGTATTTTTTAATGGCCAATAAGTCACCATAACAATAAAATTGTATTTTTTAATGGCCAATATAAACATAATTTTTATATTATTTGTTATTTTGCCATAATATTAATTTTCTATTAATACCTACCAACTGTCTGATTATTTTATGTTAGATTAGTTACGGTCTAACATAACAGTTATATGATATATCAAATGAAATTTCTAGAATTTATAATTATTCTATAAAATACTATGTAACATAAAATCTTCTACTCACACATTTTTCATTCCTTGAAAATTATTTTATAAATAAGTGGTATTACTAACTCAGATAAACAAATGAATAATAGATAAGTAACGGTCTGGATGTGTTTGAAGCTAATATGTACCGTTTTATCTATTACTTTCTCTTTCTTCCTGGTCTTTGGTGTGATTCGTCTATTTTAAATACCAGCGCCAATTACTCACAACTGTCAACAAGCATTTGGGAACTGTCAGTTTTGTTTGTACATTTTTAGTGATTTTATATTCCCAGGGCACATTTTTGAAGTTTTTTAGAGTGTCTAGAATGTTTTTTTAACGAATTTTGTTAGTTGTTAGTCTAAAAATTTTTATTCAATGTTTGTTTGCCCTAAAACAAATTTGGAGAAGTTCTACTTCGTTTCAAAGGTAAGTAAATAAAACACATGGGCGGTACACCTATATTGTAAAATATTATTAGTATTTTTTTACGCAGGTTTCTTACAAACTGAAGCAATGGAAATTTGTATTCAAATCCTAGAATTAGAGAAGGTTGAAGTTGATAAAATTAACATAAATTGGAAATATAAAATATATTGGAAACATTTTATATTATTTTGTTATGAATTCTGCCGGAAAAGACGAATTTAAGTCTGGAAGCAATTCCTATTTTATTCACTTCTCAACTTGGTCCGTCTTCAAGTAAGTTATACAAGTAAGTTATAATAATATTATGTAATACAATACCTAATACAAATTTTTCATACATTATAAACTTGGAGATTAAATTTAAAAAATAAATGCTATATTGTATTCTCCTAGACAAAGTAAAAAAAATCTCAGTGCTTTCTGGAAAGAAAACATTTTATGAAAATATAAACTACTCCAAAGTGTTTCTTTTTTCTTAGTAATGAAATGAATTATACTTATAGAATGATTATATTGTAAATATTTTATAATTCTTTTTAGGGAAAATTTACTTCCTAGTGAATGTAGTGAAATACAGTGTCTAGAAGAGATTTATAATTATAATATGCACATACTGGATCAGAAAATTTAAGTTGTTCCACCGACATTGCTCCAGAAGCTATAGAATAGGTTATTCAAATTATAAAGAAGACATCTATAAAAATACCCAAATTCAGAGACAAAAAGTTATGATAAAAATAATAGATACATTTAAAAATGCCCGTTTTTAAAAAAATATTTGTCACATATCATTTTGGAGATTATTAAAATATCTAAAATTCCAAAAACTTTAAAAAACCTGTTAAAAGTTTATAAATGAGAAGTGTGTTAATCTAGGACAAGTCAAAGGGGGTTATTTTCTAAGTTTCAGCTGAAAATGCATATCAACGAAAGCGCCAAGCAGACTTCTCAACAAAGTTCGATCACCAAAATGACAAGCATGTGATTATGGTATTCTCAGGTTGAAGGACTTCGGTCGATGGCCAGTTGGTTATGCCAATAAAGTACGTTTACTATTATTATTATTGGTATTCTCAAATGCTAGACGATTTTGCTATTCGTATGTGATTTTAATTTTTGTTGTAATCTGTCATAATATAAATCGTAAATGCTGATTTGTCTAAATAGCTAAGGTTAGTATTTGAATGTCATTTTGACATTATTACAATTATAAACTCAATTAGAATATATTAAGGCCAATTTCAGAATGGTAAGGAATCATAAACAATAAACATCATATATTTGCTGACATTTTAATATTCAAGTCATAATATTTAGATATATATATTTTAATGTTTGACTTATCTACTTCTAAAAATAAACTTTTTTGAATGCGCTTTACTTTTTTCAAATACGAACAACACAACAAGTAGAGAATACCAAAACGTTTGTGCTTTACACTTTTGCTAGTTGTCGCGTTTATGGAGGGAGTGCTTTCAAAAATGCTGGTTAGACAATAAGCCCCCGTTTTAACTCAGCGAAGTAGAAGGTTTCAGTCTAGAATATCTGTCAATATTCGCTTCTAACATATTTATTTAAGAGACCAAAAATTACATGAGTTGAAATGCATCAGAAGCAGTTGAGGTACCTATGTATCTAGTATGAAACTAAAAATAATTCAATTTGGTGACATACATTTAAATATCATATGTAGCCCATGCACAACTTCGGTTCCTATGGGATTTCCATTATATTTCTTTGAAAATAGACACTCCACTAACCAATTTTGTCCTTTTTTTTATTTATAATTACCACCTTTGATACTTTTATATTGTATTTTTTTAATAATTTTATATTGAAATTTTATAATTTAATTCTTGTATTGTTTTTCAATTTGCGTTAATTGTATGTTAATACATTTTTGAATGAATCTTAATTGGGTCATATATAAAACATTTTTATCACACACAAGTTGTACATAGACAAAATTTAATTTATGTGATTTATTAGAATACAGGAGGTTTTTCAGACATACATACCATGTAGGAATAAACATGCTAGATACTGGCGTCAAATAACTGGAATTATTAATAATTGCTCTCGTGAAAAATGAATGCATGATACGGATTTTCTATTCTTACATAAGTTGTTAAATTGATGTAATATTACTTGCCAGAAGTTACTTGGCTTCGGCCGTAAATTTCTGATTCGGCCGTAAAAGGGCAACTCGATACTTACAGCCTTTGGTACACAAATATCTATTTTAAATCTATAAATGTCATTAAAAATTTATGAAAAATGTATTTCTCATCTATAAAATTGTTATTTATGATAAAGAAATATTTTAGTTTACAAGAACAAATATAAAACCTGAATCGATAACAAATCAATGAAAATGTTGCTAGAGTTGGGGACGTTTTTATGGAAAATTGTAATGTTACTATTTTACTAATAAAGCTACAGTTAATTTATCTTAGCATTTTATTTGAATATAAATATATTATCCGATTAAAATTAATGCCGCTAGTCAAGGTTTAAAGGCCTCGTCACTTCAACCTTTCTATGCTTCTAGTTTATATGTTTGTAAACAGAGATCTATTGTTTCTATTAGGCTTAACAGTCTCCATTAGATCTTTCTTGGAACAAGATTACAGACTATAAAGGTAAGTTTCAACAAATTTATAGATTGGTGTCTATCCATTATAAATTACTTTCAAAGCTTATAATATGATTGTTTATTCTTAAGAATGATAAAATATCACATCTTTTTTTTTATATTTTTAAAAATAAGTAACTGCCTTAATTCCTATTTTTTGACATCCCTCGTATATGCTAAATAAATTTAAATTTATCACTTCAAGTGGTAAGAATGCTACCTTTAGGTATATAAGGGAAAAGTAAACTGGATTTTTTTTATTGTTGAGTATCAGAAATATTAATTTCTCCTGGTTTTAAAATAAGATGAAATGATTAAAACGGACCTGCAGAGGCACCAATCTCACCAGTATTCCTGTGACCTAATGGGTAAATTCAGTTTGGCTTACTTTTTATTTTATATATACAGTTTACTGATATCTACCTATAAACAATATTAACAGTGTAATTATTTGAATTATAAGTATCATTTATTACATTTGAATAAAAAATAGAATTTAATTTTTGTAAAATGAAATTTTATGCATGAGTTGCATTGTTCTTTAAATTTGTTATTGACAAAATATTTACAAAAGAATGCTTTGGGTTCTGATGAAAAACTATTTGATACGCCCATGGGGACCACGGCTGTCAAAAGTTCGTAGATACTGGCTTCAAACAAAGCCTATGTAAAACTGCGCCCGTAACACATCTATATTTCATTTGTTTATCTGAGATTACTAAAAATTAGTTAGTATAACCTTAATCATCCGTTTTCTAAAAAAAAAAAATGTTTGGGTAGGTAGCATGCTCAGTTTTGAATGTTTGAAAAAGATGTTTATAGCGTCTCCCTACCTTCTAACTCCATGCTTCTAGCATAATATCTAGCCTCTAGCGCCTAGCTCGGTGCGAGTTGAAGGAATTCGGTGTTCGCGCTGTTGCCAGACTGTTTGAAATTTATGATTTCTCGCAAAATTTTACTTTTCTTAAAAACATTGTTTTCTCGATTTTCTTAGCAACTTTCGTATATATAGTATCGGACGTGTTTTACTTGAAGTTTTTCTGCAAGTGCCAATAAGCTTCTCGTAACTATGGTTCATATCGCCCCATAAGCCTATCCTCCTTCCTACTTAAAACTCTAAAAAGATTGATAGATAGGTATATCAGGGACAATATACTAAAAATAAATCCGATCCATCCCAACCAATATGCATACCAGCCAGGAAAGTCAACTGACCTAGCGCTGGACGATCTAAACAGGCTGCTTTCAAAGTCAATAGATGACAAAGAAATCGCAATAGCCACTTTCTTAGATATCGAAGGAGCTTTTAACAATACCTCAACCAGGACAATAACCAAGGCTGTAGAAGAGAGAAACGTCCCAGTAACAATATGCCAATAGATCACTGCCTGTCTAGAGAACAGGATTATTTTATCCACTCTAGGAAAGGCAACTATACAGGCAAAAGTTACACAGGGCTGCCCACAAGGAGGAATATTATCTCCAATGCTGTGGTCAGTTCTTGTGGACGACTTACTCAAAATATTGTTCAAAGAAATCTACCAGTGCTTAGGATACGCAGACGACTTAGCAATTATCGTCAGGGGGCGATTTGCAGGCACAGTCTCGGAGCGATCTCAAACAGCTCTAAACATAGTGAACAACTGGTGCAAAAAGGAACAATTGTCCATTAACGCACAGAAAACAACAGTTGTACCATTCACAAGAAAACGGGTACTTACAGGTCTAAGACCACTAGTACTAAACAACACAGTTATCACATTCGTCACAATCCCTCCGAATACCTCGGAGTCATATTTGACCAAAGGCTGACGTGGAATCAACATCTCAAAAAACTCACACATAAAGCTACAATAGCTCTCGTAAGCTGTAGAAGAATATGTGGGAAAAACTGGGGTCTAAACCCCAAAATGACCATATGGTTATACACAAGGGTAATAAGACATATGATAACCTATGGCGCAGTGACGTGGGTAACCAAAACTGCGCAGGTAAGTGCAATAGGCCAACTCACTAGCATTCAGCGGCTTGCCTGTCTAAGTGCTACTGGGGCCATGCGCACTACGCCGACTGCAGCAATGGAGGTATTATTAAATCTCACCCCACTGAACATCTTCATACAAGGAGAAATCAGGTCAGCTATTCACAGGCTAATGCAGAAATCAAACCCACTAAGCCAACTACATAGCGCCGACCACACAAGGCTAAATCAACAAGTAAAAAGGGATAATATTCTAGCTACGCCTACTGATAGAGCCATAACCACATACAAATTTGAAAGAAATTTTTAAATTCAAATGCTAGCCCGAGAATCCTGGAAACAGGGACCTCCCGTACAGGCCGAACTCGTCTCTTACACAGACGGTTCAAAAACCAAGGAAGGAGCCGGTGCTGGAATCTATGGACCCAAGTCGAAATGAACGATTTCGCTGAATTTAGGAAAATATGCAACAGTTTTCCAGGCTGAGCTAATAGCCATACAACACTGTGCAAGAGAAATATTAAATCAGCAAGTATCAGGCAAAACTATTGCCATACACTCTGATAGCCAAATCACAACTGGTCAAAATAAGGTGACCTGGGTTCCAGGCCTGAGGGATCAAAAGCGTCAAATCGTTAGGATAACAGTAGGCCTTCTTACTGAACACTGTCGCCTCAAGAGGCACAAAAGGCAAATAGTAGCATAGCAGTAGGTAACGCTGTGAGCTCAGGTAACTTTGCAATATGTAATAGTAGATCATTATGAATAGGGTCTAGAACTATTTTTTTGATCTTTAACTGATTATTGTAGGCCGACTAATTTAGTTTGTTACCGAGTAATTTCACTTTTTTTCTACAGATTGAGATAATTTGATTATAAGCAAATCTATGTGCACTGCACTGTTAAGTTTTAACTTAAGTTAAGAACTATATATTTGCTCTGTGCCTAATATCATCAAATGAAGAAGTAAATTTGTATTAGTTTTGTCTGTTAAAATAAATGTTGTATAATCAACAAATAAAACTCATTTAGCATGAAATGGCTTAGATCGTTAACATAAACAAGTAAAACGAGGTGCAGAACAGAGCCTTGTAGCAACTCAACAGTAGTAGGAAAATTGAGAAATAATCTTTTACTAAAATTAAAAAATGTTCTACAACTTCAGAAAATATTTATACGCGATATATATAGCTTTCAGGTGCTGTCCAGGGTACAGGTATAGGTGTAGGGATGCACCTTCGCTTAACAACTTACTATTTGCTCTTGCAGCTTGATTTGAAAGTCTAATCATCTGTTCGTACGTGTCTTTCATTTTTTGTCCAGAATTTCTTCTCCATTCCGTCCAGACATGAGCCAGCTCCTCCCAGTTTCTACTTTTAGCCATAATTTTAGCAAGATCGGGTTGCAGTCTCAATCCACAATGGAAGGGGTCATTATATCCGCATATAGAGGCAGTGTTGTATATGGCTAGCATGTCGTTTATAAGTCTGTTGTACTAAAAAAAAAAAATACAAAAAACATTGATATGTAATAAAACAGAAAGATAAAGATGTCGAGCATAAAAGAAGAAATTGAACATTTCTCGAAAAGAAAATCTCATCTACTCGTATATATGCCATATTCTCTCAAATTTAAATTATTTATTTGTAAATATTTGAGCGAAGAAAAGCTCATAGTTTAATCAGCAAGTAGTTACTTTCAACTTTACTCAAAGGAGAAAAGATTGGCCCTAATTATGTTGTTACGCAGCACACGTACGAATAGAAAAAGAAGTGGAATGCTACTCATCGCCCTACAGTGTGCTGCGGTCCTCATAAGTAAAAGTACAAGTAAAAGAAGACAGAACAGTCCAGAAATGTCATTACTTGTCAAGAATATTCTAGACGACAGTTCGAGAAGGTTCGAGAAGGTCAAGCAAGGTATGTAAGAATGATCCTGACGTCAGTTTTGGGAGTTTTATGATAGACGTTATACGTTAATGTTATCAGTTGGATAGTTATTGTAAAGTTGAATTGAGTTGTTGTTAAAGTTGAGTTGCAATAAATTGTGATACCAAAAACCAGCACAACAATATTATAAATATTTAGACACTAAATACACCAAAAATATTATAAGGATTTTCTTACATAAAATACCGGGAATATTTTGCCTGAAGCGACAAATCTGACTAAAAATAAAGGTTCACAAAGTATTTTTTAAAGTTTGCTCTTAAATAATAACAAGTTTAAATTGGTATCATAACAAAGATCCTTGCTTGCAACATATATTATAAATACTTACTCTGTCTAGTTCTTCTGGTGGCAGAGCTGAAGGACCAATTACAGAATAGTATCTAATTTGTCTGTAAGTTTGTGGATCTAAACTATTTATATTTCCCACTTTGTTAAGTAAGTCCCAGACGCCATGTTGAAATTCTGCATAAAATTGTTGTGCGTTTATCTGAAACCAAAACAAAAAATATTTTAAATATATTTATGACATAGTTATGTAATGAACTGTTCAGGAATTACAAAGCAGATTCATTCTTTATGCAGAAGAACTATTTTGTTAATAAAATTAGCAATTTTGGAATTATGTATTCTCTCTGCAAAAAGACGATGATGATTTCCACTTCAATACAGTTTCAAGGATAGTATGCCCTAATTTGAAAAATTATTATTATCGCTGGAGGTTGCCTTGGTTATTAATCTATTATGTTTGGTCATATAAGGAATATTAAATACTCATTTCTTTGCTACAATATATCATTGTAAATAATTATTTGAATGAGTATTATGATTTTTTTTGGTATCTTAAATTAAATATACGTCCGGTACTTATTAAATATCTATATGTCCTTAGGAATTGATATTGATTTTCAAATATCCATATACAGCCGGTAGCTATATGGTTCTGTATTCGCAGAAAGGTCCCCGCAGTTTTTAAACGGATTATGTTTATTTGGTCCATTTTGTATATATTTTGCTTTGTTACCACTCAAAAATATGGCCAGTAATTTTTTTGGAAATTTTACCATTACATTATGTGGAAAAAATATACGTTCCATGTAAAATATTGATTTCCTGAGATTTATATTAAATATTGGGCATTGGGTTAGAACTCAATTGTTGGTTGTTATATCTGTGATGATCCCCATATTAATTTAGGAAAGGTCTAGTGTGTACTCGAAGCGAATGGGGGGAGGGGGGAGGGGGCAGAAAGTTAAAAAATATAGCCTCGCAGAAGCGAGATACTTACAAAGTATGTTAATTAATTACGTTGAATACATTTTCATATTATAATATAATTATAGAAGATCAGAAAGATATATTAGACTCAAAAATTTTATTTCTCAAAATTATGTATTTCTACACTACTTCCCCCCGAACCTTGTAACCAGCAGCTTCGCAAAAAGTAATAACATTTTTTATCTCTTCTCTGGAATACATCTAGGAATGTACTTCTTCTATAGTTGAAAGCACGTGGAAATCACAAAGGGTACAAGTCATATTTTTTAAAATAACACTTTTTGACGCCATTTGATTCTTTGAAGTATTTTACATGCCCCCACATACTTTGATTTTCTTTTACTATACGGAGAATGGTCGCACTCCGCAGCTTTATGAGTTCCTTTTAAAAGGAGATAGAAAACTCCGCCATTTTGATCCCTTATTACGTGTTGCCTACATCTTGGCGCAATATTTTTAATAGGAGCGTTTTAGTCGATCCGAAATAAGGTCGACCTTCACCCATCTGTTTACCGGATGAATGTATCTTTTTATTAAATAAAATATATTTATAAATATATCGCAAAATGGTTGCCTAAGAAAATACGGTCCAGAGTATTTATTTTCTAAAAATAAAAAACAACACCCTGTAAAGTATTTTACAGATGCTTCGATTATGCCCAAACTTTATTCAGCTCACCGCAGGATAGATTAAAGCCTAAGTTTAAAATTTGGTGTTTTTCTCTTTATCCGTTTTTGAGTTGTCTTCAAAATTCGAAATTTACAATTTTTCTTAAATACCTCGAATTAGGTCCATTTTAGTGAAATCATGTATAGGGACAAAATAATAGAGAATGACATCATAAGCAACTTTTATCATGATTCTTATACTTTCCTCATCTGTACACAGAAAGGAAAGCAAAAAATGGCCGTGACCGTATTTTTTAGGCAACCCATTCGCGGTATATTTAAAAACATATTTTATTTAATAAAAAGAAACTTTCATCCGGTAAACAGAAGGGTGAAGGTCGACCTCACTTACGGATCCTGGACTATTTTAATCATCCGCTTTTACTTCGGAATTGTCGGTTTTCTTGTTTTAATCTTGTAATAAAATATCTCCAGAGTTGAGATTAGGGTTTTATTACAATTAATGTCAGAATGACAATCAACAACATATATAGAATGTACTACATGTCCTACATGTACGGCATGTCCTACACAATCTCCCCTTCTAAAAAATTATCACTCTTGTGATAAAACTGGCGAATATTGCTAACATGAGCTTCTTCCTGTTTATCAGCATCCTTAAAATGCACATATGCGAGAACACCTTGTATATATTTTACTTTACAAACTTGGAAGGGTCCTCTGGTTATGTATTCTTTACCAGTTTTCTGACTTCGAACTAAAATCCAATCCCCGTCCTTAAGTGTAGGTGGTTTTCTTTTCCTATATTTGTTAGCTTGTTCTTGAATTTTTTGTTTGTATTTTATTTGCTCCTCTAGACTTTTAGTATTTTCCTTAATATCGATTTCTAAACCTAATTCCATATCGGCAGCTAAAATTTTGCTTTCCCATTTAACTTAAAATATGGTGAACATCCCAAGTATTCATTGTGAGAATAATTGTGATGCTGTACGGCACATTCCAATGCGACCTTCCATCCTCCTGGAAAGTTATTATAATAACTCATGAAGCTCTTCAAATCTCGTGTAACTCTCTCTGCTTGCTAAGCCATTTCCTGCTGGATGGTACGGTGTGGTAGTTATCAAGTTAATGCCATGTTCTGTAGCCCATTCTGTAATAACTTTCGAAGTGAAAGCACTTCCACGATCGCTCACTATCTTTTTTGTTCGATCAATAAAAGGATGTTTACTGAGGTATGTTTTCACAGCAATACTTGATTCTTTTATTGATTTTGCAGTAACATATCTAGTTGCTTCATCAATTACCACAATGAAAGATTTTGTGGTTCTGTTGCCTTCTGCCTTTTTACACATTTCTGCAAAATCGATATGTATTGTCTCGAAAGATTTTTGTGAGTTTGAGGTTAAATGAACATAATTTTGTTTTGGCAGATATTTGAATTTAGCATGTTGACAAACAGAGCAGGTTTTTATATATTCTTTTATATCTCTACTAATAGATTTCCAAAAAAAAACGCTGTTTAATTTTGTAATAACATTTGTAATATCCATCATGTCCCCCTGAATGTGGATCATCATGATAAAGTTGAAGAATATCTGTTATCATATCTTTTGTCTTTACTAGATATTTACCATTCTCCATTCTAGTTAGATTTTGAATGTTTAAGTTACACCAAAAAGATTGTGAGGTATTTTCTGGAATGTCTATACATAATCTGCTGATTAATAAAACCCTAATCTCAACTCTGGAGATATTTTATTACAAATCTGACAGGTTAAAACGACTAAACCGACAATTCCGGAAGCAGAAGCGGATGATTAAAACGCACCTGATATTTTGCTTGCTGCTGTCAGTGTTAGTGAATATTATTTTTGGAGTCACAGTTTATTGCTAAAGAATCAGTTAGCTCACTCAGACCAGTTGAAAGTTCCAAAATAACATCCACTCCAGGGATACAAATTCAGGATACGCAGAAGACTGCTGTTTTATTATAGGCGGTTGTCATATATTGTATTATCCGAGTTGCGCAGTGTATAAACTGGAACATTGAGATCAAAAGTGCCGACGCAGAGTGAGCGATCTGATTCTTTAGCTATAAACTGTGGCATATGAATCAAAATGGCCGCGCTCTATGCTGGGCGTGTCGGACCTCTCTCTTGCACCGTATAGTAATCAAAATATGTGCATACCCCTTTCAAGTGACACGGAACGCAGCTGTCAGATATGATAATCTCACTTTATCAGTTACGAAAATGGAGAATCGCGAGCTTGCTGATACTGCTTATAAATTAAGAAAACATCGAAAACTATAAGCATAACAAAATAAAAAAAGCCAAAATTGCTGGAAAAGCTCATAAAAACCATAAGGGGACAGATGTGGCACCAAGACAAACAGGAGCTTATTGCAGGTTAGTTTTGTTTTCTCAATATATTTTACCAAATCTTAGCTAGAGATGGTATTAATTGTTCTTTTTATTTACAGATGTAAGTTAAAATGTATGGAGACTATCTCAAAAGATAATATCCAAAGTAGTATCCGTTTTATTAACAATTTTGATAGTAAAAATGCCCAAGACACATACTTGCAGGCATTAATTGAAAAGCAGGAAATACATAGAAAACGTCCCAGATCTGAAGTACCTAAGAATAGACAATTTACTTTCAAATATCACATTAAGATAGAAGGTGCTAAATTAAAAGTGTGCAAAAAAGCTCAATGTGAAAACTATGCATGCATTGTACAAACAAAAATATCCAGATCATCCAGTAAAATATAAATTTTACTTAAAATATATGCAGGAAAACTTTAGCTTATCATTTGGTAGAAAGCAAATTGCTGTCTGTGCACTGTGTGAAGAGTTAAAGATTAAACTAAAAAATCCACATTTAAATGATAACGCAAAAAGAGTCTATCTAGCAGATATTGAGCTCCATACAAGTATCAGAAATTAAAAATTTCAAAAAACCGACTTCAAAAACGTGCAGATGCCGTCACCACATCTTAACCAATTTTACATGGGACCACCCTTGAGGTACCCCCTTACTAACAAAAAAAGAATCATAGAAATCGGACAAGATGGTAAAGCATTATTGCTAAACATACATAAAAAATGAAGAGTTTGAGGATTTTCCCATGGATCCAATTATTAGATTTTAACCAAATTTATATGGGACCACCCCTGACAAATTATTGATATCGAACAGCGTGTTGAAGAATTATCGCTGAGCATACATAAAAAAAAATATCGCGACGAATTGAGAACCTCCTCCTTTTTTTGAAGTCTGTTAAAAAGAAGCAAATAAATTTTACAAAAAATTCAGGAGGTGAAAACTAAGTGCAAGAATAATCCAAAGGTGTATGGGATTGCATTTGATTATATGCAAAATTTACCACTTCCACATATTCCAGAGCAGGAAGTTTTTTATCTACGTCAACTATGGCTTGTACCCAGCTGTAATTGTTCAAAATGTTCTCTAAAGAACAGTTGTGGTTGTAGAATCGCTGGGTTAGCGTGCTGCACCTTCTGTAACTGTCAGACAAAACAGTGCAATAAACCCCATATGTAAAAATTTTATGTTTTAAGATATTCGAAATATAGTCGTATTTTTCTACCTCTAACTTTTTTGTTGCATGCTGTTATTTTAAACCACCCTGTATAATCTAAACAACAACTATTATACAGATATATTCTGAGCTTTATTGAACAGTGACAAAATGAAAAAAAAAACTGATATATTAAGTAGATAAAAACATTAGTGTATGTGGAACACTCTAATGTCATATGTGTATAGTCCTAACCATATCACCACCCTGTATAAAAACTAAACTGGCCATTTTTGGGCCTGGTAACCAAAAGTTCTTCAATTTATACACCTTGGACAACATAATGCCGTAAAAATATATCGGGGACCTCTCAAAAACAGAAGTGATTCAGGATCTTCTATTGGGCCCCTTTTGTTAATATTTTTACTGTCATCAACAAAACGTGAAATATTAATCTTAAAATGCCTAAACCGTTTCTAGGATACAAAGTGGGAACTTAAATAGACAAAATACCCCAATCAGCCCCCTATGCGCCATCTAACCTTAACAACAAAAATAAAAAGCAACTTGTCACACATCACTGAAAATCTAGGAAAAAATGATTTTCAACGATATAAGTTATACCCTATACAGGATGGTTCGATAGTAGGTACCTACTTAATAATTAAATTGTTTTTAAATTGTCATCCTGTATGTTAAAAGTGATAGATATATTTTTATGATTCTTATTGAATGCATAGGTAAAATTTTATTCCAATTAAAAGCCAGTAAATTTGCGGAAAATTTGTGATTATTCAGTGCAAAGTTTAATTGTATGCAGCAATTATACTATTGGTCTAAAAAAAACGGTATAAAACAGGATACTAGGCAGCCAAGCCGAAAAGTACTGCACCTTGCGTTTGTTTCTCATCATTTTCATAGAAATAATTAATTACCCATGTGTAAACAGAAATTAGAAAAACGTTTACACAATATTTTTAAAAACCGTTAATAAAAAATACAGTTCATCAAATTTCTAGAGGCTTTCGACGGCTAGACAGAGAAAGCACTACTGACAGGCATCCCGACGGATTTACGCAATGAAAGTACACTCTGCGCATCAAGTATTTCACTATTTCATTCAGACGTAAATGTCAGATGTAAATTTCGCTAAAACATTTCTTTTCGTTTGTGTTTTTTGCTCATTACAGTTTAATAGAACCTAAGTATGGAGTTTAATAGCAAATTAAGAGGCCGCGTGATTAACAGTCAATCTCGCGAAATAATAGCCAATGTTATAGAGTTTATGAGAAGAGAAGGAAACTTTAATTCACCTTCAATACTATTTAAAAATGTAAATGATCGTGTTGCTGCAGCCACAGGAGTATCTAAAAACACTGTCGTCCGCATTTCTGGAGAGAAAAAAAGAATCGATAACCGTGAGATATCGGAATTTTCATCACCAAGAAAAACCATTAAAAAACCAAAAACCGTTAATGATATAGATGAAGCTGCACAAGAATCAAATTTTATTTTTTTATTATTAGATAGCTATTTTTCTTTCTGAGTTGTGTTCATTTACAGGCTCAATTTTTTTCAGTTTCTCCTTTTTGATTTTATATGGGGTTTCAAGTTGTTTTTGACTTATTTCGACGTAAATCACAACAACACACTTTTTTAATAAGGCAAACAAGTGTTAAGAGGTATATGTACGTGTAAACTACAATTACAAAAAATTGATATGAAACCCATGAAACCACCAACAAAAATGTCTAGCTTCCGTACTAGAACATGGTGTCATTCGTCGAGATAATTTATCGTTTTGTTTAATAGATCAAGAAATGTAAATATTCCCCTGTTATTTTTTATAAAATTATAAGAGAAATAATTTTTTTTCTAAATAGTATAGTTTATTATTTTGTAGAAAAACAAAATTTCGAAAATTTTAGTAATGTTTCAGAAACAACCGTTATTAATAATAGGTACCATTTTCCTTAATAAGGTAGAAATAAAATATAAACTATTTCCACGATTTACAAAGGCCTACAAAAAAATTATAGGTATTTTCCGCTATCCTATAAAATTTATATTTTCTGACTCAATTTCAAAAGGTTGAAGGAATTCCAAAACACCTTTTATGGCATAATAATTATTTTCAATTCTACATACTATCTTTAGCTGCTTTTAAAAACGTTCTAAGAAAGTCCAATCAGACCAATTTAATCCCTAAACTATTCCACACTTTTAAAATTTAATTACCTAAAAATATTAAAAACTATTTAAAATAACTTGTTTAGCAGACTGTACAATAGCTATCTTAGTCACACGTAGCGCGTTCTCTGTCTGGGCGTCGAATACCTCTAGAAATTTGATGAACTGTAAAGAATTATCGTTATTTAAAAATTACATAATATTAATTGAATTAATTTTATTTTTATAATAATAACGCTAGACTTAAAAAAACAATATTAAACTTTTTTGTATTTTATGGAATAACTTTGGAAGTAGTCAAAAAATCTATAATTTTATGGAATAATATTACCCATCAAAATATGAAACTGTTTCCCCAATTAATCGAGATTGTATATTTTTCGTTCGTGAGATCTCTATATACGCAAAATAAATCCCCAAGAATGTTTTACGCCAATTCATTGTAAATAAGCAGAATTTACGTGCCTAATAACTACACACATCTCCAAAAGTCTAGGCCTCCTAGGTATTTTTAAAAATAATCAAATTGAATTTTAAAAATATAGCGAATTTTTATTCTTTGTTCTAATACCAAACTATGTGAGACACAAACTTTGTAATTTGCTTTTCGAATAATGCAGAATAAAGGAAATTACAAAAAAATGTCCAAACATTGTAAGTAAGAAAATTTTATTTTTTGTAATAACATGTTATATCGTAACAAAAACAAAACTTAAAAGTCTGTATTATCGACCTCCTTTCAATCAATTGGCCAACGTGTCGCGGCATCCTCGGATCCGGTTATCAATAAAATGATCAAACATATTGCCCCACTCTTTTTGAACAGTTACAGTCAAGTCCTGGAGGGTTAAAGGGGGGTTTTCTCGATTGGATATTGCTCTGAGAAAACAATCCTATACATAATCAATGGGATTCACGTCTGGTGAGTATTGGCGACCAGTTAATCATTTGGATATTTGCGATGCGGTCTGGCATTTTCTTCTTGAAAAATAAAATTGTTTTCAAATTAGTTGCTCAAAGGCTGAATGATTTGTTGAATAATGTTTTCAGCGTATATGATACCTGTCATAGTTCTCTCAATCAAAATAAGTGGTGTGGTGACCAAACAGTATACCTTCCAAAACATCACTGATCCGCCTTCATAGGGAATAACACCTCTTACCAAAGTAAGTTGTCCCTGTCTGCCTGGACCCCTCCAGACCCTTTCCCGGCATCTATCATTCTGTAGGTCAAATCCTGACTCGTCCGAAAAAGGGATGTTGCGCCATTGTGGTAAAAGGCCAGTTCCTGTGAGCCAGAGGGGCGAAACTCCTATGCGCAAGACTGGGGTAGCGTTTAAATCAACCACGTCCACTTGGCGCTGCAGTCGTGTGGTGGGGTGGGTGGTGGGAGTGTAATGACAGATGACAGGTGAATATTGATTTTGGTAAGTTTTAAAATTTTATATAGAAATAGGATAACCTGGCATTTTATGACAAATATACTTGATACTTTAATATTCGATGTCAGCTTAGAAATGGTGCATATTATCGGACGAAAACAATGTTTTACTTGTTGCGTTTATGTATGATAAGATACAGAAGAATATTTACACAAAAAATAGTCATTTTACATTGACCGCGGTAAAAGTTACCAAGGGGACCAAGGCTTTTGGAGATGTGTGTATATAAACAAATTTTGTGAAAAGAAACATTAATATTATGATGAAGAAAATGATAATTTAATATTGTCCATTTCTGATAGACTTTATATTCTTGTGTAAATCTTGTCTGTAATTGGTGGACGAATAACGAGGTATGTAAACATAAAATAGACAGAATCGCACTGCTGTTATTAGATTAATACATATGCAATTATTATTGTTTTATTTTTAAGGATTACCATTTGAGTCATCTAATTTCAAGGATAATATAGCCTAACTTGACGAATTACTATCTACAGGTTAATTTTTTTTATTAATATAATATACTTACTGCATTTGGATTATTAAGGAAGTTCTGCGAACTTATATATGGTTTTGATGCCCTTTGAAACTTCCTTAATGATACAGGATGTCTCAGAAGTCGAGTCTCTTAAATATTGTATATAAATCAATAATATAAATACATTTTTCAAGTAACTGTTTTAGGTATGGATTTGGTTCCTGTTTTGATTATTGAGTGTTTTTACTAAATACAATCATATAGGAATTGAATTAATTA